ATCCCAAAATAAATCACTACAAAATGCGTTTCCGATTTATAAGTGTAAAATAAAACGCCACTACAAGATACAATACAAACCCTTTTACTACAAAAATTAGTACACAAATCCATTTTTTTTACTTAAATTATTTACGAATCAGAGGATAGTACCAAGTACGTGTTTACCCTTTTAGTAGTGGAAATGGTAAGGGGAATTTATTATTAATATTTAATAATATTTAATAATTTATAATATTTTATAATAATTATGGTTATTAATAATAATAATTATTATTATTATTGTAGTAATAATAATAATAATAATGATAATAATAATAATATTAATAATAATAATAGTAATAATAATAATAATATAGATAATAATTATGTTTATAATATAATTAAGGATTAAGGATTAGTAATTGGTAATTAGTAATTGATAAATAATAATAGGTGGCTAGTAGTTAGTAATAATAATTCATGAGTAATAATTAGTGGTTGGTAATTGGTTATTGATTGATATTTAATGATTGTTGAGTGATGAATGATAATTAATAATTAATGAGTGATGGTTATTGGTCGGTAATTCATGAATTAATGATTAGTGAGGATGATCGGTGGTTGGTGATTAGATTGATGATTGGTAATTTATAATTGGTATTTGTTGATGGATGGTGGATGATGGGGAAACGAGGAGGGATGAGGAATGAATAATAAGAAATAATTATTTATATTATATTAATAGTATCGTACAAGGCGGTGGCGGAAATTTCAAAAATAGGAAATCTATAGGAGAGATTGGTTGTTTTGAATCAGGGATGGCAGAGTGAATCCATTGATGGACCGAAAGGTGCTTGAGATCTCCTCTCTTTCTCTTTTTTTCTCCGATTATCTACCTACCTACCTACCTATCTTCTAATCTTCTATATATCTATCTATCGATCTATCTATCTCTCTCTTTCTCTTTCATCTAATTACATATCTATCTATCTACCTATCTATCTCTCTCTCTCTCTCTCATCTGTCTATCTGTCTATCTGTCTAGCTGTCTACCTGTCTATCTGTTTATCTATCTATCTATCTATCTGTCTATCTGTCTACCTGTCTATCTGTGGTGCAGTGTCATTCAATGTAATGTAGTGTAGTGTAATGTAATTTAGTGTAGTGGAGTGTAGTTGCGTAGTTGTAGTTGTAGTGTAGTGGAATGTAGTGCAGTGTAATGTAGTGAAGTGTAGTGGAAGGTAGTGTAGTGTAGTGTAATGTAGTGTAGTGTTGTGTAGTGTAGTGTGATGTAGTGTAGTGCAATTTAGTGTAGTGGAGTGTAGTGGAGTGTAGTGGAGTGTAGTGGAGTGTAGTGGAGTGTAGTGGAGTGTAGTTGTGTAGTTGTAGTTAGTGTAGTGTAGTGGAATGTAGTGTAGTGTAATGTAGTGAAGTGTAGTGGAAGGTAGTGTAGTGTAGTGTAATGTAGTGTAGTGTCGTGTAGTGTAGTGTAATGTAGTGTAGTGTAGTGGAATGTAGTGGAGTGTAGTGGAGTGTAGTGGGGTGTAGTTGTGTAGTTGTAGTTGTAGTGTAGTGGAGTGTAGTGTAGTGTAATGTAGTGAAGTGTAGTGAAAGGTAGTGTAGTGTAGTGTAATGAAGTGTAGTGTAGTGGAGTGTAGTGTAGTGTAGTGTAACGTAGTGTAGTGTAATTTAGTGTAGTGGAGTGTAGTGGAGTAGTTGTGTAGTTGTAGCTGTAGTGTTGTGGAGTGTAGTGTAGTGTAATGTAGTAGTGTAGTGTAGTGCAGTGGGGTGGAGTGTAGTGTAGTGTGAAGCGAAGAGAAGCGAAGCGACATCTGAACCTCCAAAAGTGGTCCGAACCCCTGGTGCTTTTAACATTTTGACTTCGAAATGTGCTTCGCCCCACAACGGCGTGCACTTTCTCGACATCTGAACGTCCAAAAGTGGTCCGAACATGGTGTGCTTTGTACATTTTGACTTCGAAATGTGCTTCGCGCCACAACGGCGTGCACTTTTCAACATCTCAACTTCCAAAAGTGCTCCGTGCCCCTTAGTTTTTTGATGTTTTTTGCATTTTTGACTTCGAAATGTGCTTCGCGCCACAACCGCGTGCACTTTTTCGACATCTCAACTTCCAAAAGTGGTGCGAACCTGGTGTGCTTTGTACATTTTGACTTCGAAATGTGCTTCGCGCCACAACGGCGTGCTCTTTTTCGACGTCTCAACTTCCAAAAGTGGTCCGAGGCTGAGGTGTTTTGTACATTTTGACTTCGAAATGTGCTTCGCGCCACAACGGCGTGCAATTTTTCATCTCTCATCTGGCCAGCTGGCTCCGCACCCGCCGCTTTAGCGAGCCTACTTTTCGACCATCCGGAGCCTCAAATCATTGGAAAAACACAGTGTTTCGCAACTTTGCTACCTTTTCACGCATCTGCATCTTCTTTCTTCTGACTCTTTCTCTTCTCTGATCTTCTCTCTTCTAATCTTCCTCTTCTCTGCCTCTGCCCTGCTCTGCTTTTCATCTGTCCATATTTTCGGAAGTTTGACTTCTAAACTTCCTTCGATAATAAGGAATAGATAATCATAATGAGGAATAATGAGGGATAGTAAGGATGACGGCCATGTAAGATAAGGATGACGGCTATTGTATGACGAAGATTTTGGGGACAATGATAATAATTATGTTGAAGATTTCATTCGTTTGTGACCCTTGGATTCTTTCGTTTCTATTTCTTGGAAAAATCATCGTTGGGAACAACAAGGCAGTCTCCAGATTCTCCAGTAAATGGCACAATTCTTTGATGACGATATGAAACTGGGGCTGTCATTGGGCTGTCATTCTTTAAGAATCTCCATGATTTCCTCAAGAAGGGATTCTGGTCGCACCAGTACCTTATTTATTCTAATTCCATATGATTATTTCCGATTCTAGCATCTGTTTAATCTATTAAATTTTGAGATATGTTTTTTCTTGGGTTTGTGGGCTCATGTTTCGCAATTTCAAACAAGCTCGATATATGCCATCTCGGACCAATCTCCCTGTCGATTCATGGTCCTGGTCACCTTCGTGAATCCTTTCTCGCGATCTTTGTATCGGTCTGGGCCCTTGGCTTCACAGTCGCACACTTCAGATGGCTGTTCTGACAGCTGGGGACTATTCCAAATCAGTCCATATTAATACATTCGTATTAACATCATTATATACAGTTTCATAATGTTCGATATCAATTGATATCATATGTCCAGAAAAATCAGAAAAGTTGGATTCTGAACTCTGACTGCTGCTATATGGGGACTACCACGGACAAATTTTAACAGTGCACAAAAGGGGCTCGTCCATATCGCAGACCAAGAGACAAGCTGAAAGAGATTGTTGACAAGAGCCCTTAGCCAACAAGGCGTCCAAAAAACCGTGACAAAGGATTCTCTGCTCGCTTAGTGTCTCTGTCTCTCATCTGCATTTTCTCAGGCAAGAAACTCGTCGTACAGCCACTCACCTGCCTCACGTCTTGAGAGGTCGTCACCGCGCTTTGCCAGTAAAATCATGCGGTCCACAAAGTGGGTCAGGGCCTGATGGTAAGACCAAAAAGCAGCTTGGCTCAAGTCAAGGCTTCTGGACCATCATTTGGAAACGAACTCTTTGACAGTTCAAAGTTGTTTGCACAATAGCGGACAGCTCGGAATAAATCGACACGGCCCCGAATAAGGAATTGTGTGTGTATATTATATATATATCTGTATGATTTTAAACCAAAGCCATCCACAGGCGCACAATGGTTTTCATGTTTTGATAAAGCGCCAGGAATAAGTCAGAAGATTTGAATTTGCTTCAGAGGCAAACAAATAAGATAAAGCAAGGGCTATATATGAGGTCTCAAGCTACAAGTGGATGACCGGAGATGAGAAGCCATCGTGTATAACAAAAGTGTGCAACCTTTTCTACCAAGCGTTCCAAGACTCCAAGAGCCTCCAAATTTGGGGCCATTGGTTGAATGCCATTTCGTTTTGAACAAAGAGCATCAAAAAAAACTCCACGTCCTGCGTGGAAATGATGCATGCTTGGGGGGCTGGATTCGGATGATTCAGTTTGCAAGCACAATTCGGCAGGCCTCGGCCCTTGCACGAGTGGTCTTAATGCGACCCGAGCGGATGATCTGAGTCGTGAGGTTTCTCATCATATTCTTTCTGTACCTTGGTTCTTTCTAGCGACTTTGATGTTTGGAGAGTGCTTGCAGAGTGTTCTAAACGTTCTGAAACTAAGCAAAGACATCAAAGACGAAGAAAATAAGGAGAACAATGGTTGCGCGGATTTAAGTTTTACAAACTATATCAATGAAACATGCAAAATCATGCAAATACATGCAAATACAACTTGTTCTTTTGTAAAAAATACAAAACAAAGACATGCGGTGGAAATAAGAAACTCTTGGAAATAAGAAACTCTCCCCAGCTTCCTGCAGACCAGGTGCTCCCAAGACGCTCCGCTGAGCTTTGGGATCACTCGCTGCTGGCCTGCTTTAGGAAAACCCAGGCGAGAGCTGCGTTGAATGCCACCGGTTCCCTGCATTGCGGGCAGAATCCAATGAGCGCAGCCGGTCAACAAATGCGACCTCTAATTGCCGATGCCTAGAGGCACCAAAACGACCAAAACAGTCACCAAACCTACCTTGCTAGGACCTCCCGATCCAACATGCAAGAAGTGACTACCCTCAAGTCTCAGATGGATAATCGAAGTTGCCGGTCCCATCGAAGCACAAAAAGTCTCCTTAACCTCCTACAAAAAGGAGCAGCCTTGAAACCATGATATTGTGGACCATACTCTGCATCGAAGTCCTGCGAAGAGTTGTTGGGCTTGACATCCAATGAATCGAACACATACAAGTCACTCGGGCTGCAGCAACAGTCTGGACTACCGTACCTCTACCGTCCTGCTTGATGGGGCCTCCATACTTTCTCTTGAAGAACATAGTAGTAGGGGGCGTGTCTCTTCGACTGGAGCGCACAAAGCCAGCAACCAGGAGTCCTCCAGCACAGGCAGAACAAATATGGACATATGGCTGATATCTGTTGAAAAACATAAAGGAGTCAGTTGCGTCTGCAAAAGATCCTGACATCAATGAGTCGCATTTGAAAAAACATGAACAAACAGCAATTTGATGCAATTCGATGCAATTCGATGCAATTCGATGCAATTCGATGCAATTCGCATCACATGGCCTGCGCAACTCGCTAGGGAGGACCAAGTGAAAGCGCTCGCTCTGCTCTGCCGCGCCGTGGATGTAGACGCCCAGGTGCGCCGACTAGCAACATCTTTGACAGGCACCCGAGGCGCAACAAAGGCCTGCGACATGTGTCCAAAACTGCTGCCTTGACTCAACGCACCTCTCTCTAAAGTCGAATGCCGAAAGATGGTTGAAAGATGATGAAAGTCAATGCCTACAGATTAAATTCGTATGTAGCCTGAAATGTCCCGAAACTTTTCCAGGGGAACTTATGAGAACTTCATGTGGGCCTCCGCTCCGCTGAGCGCCAGGATCGTGGCAATCAAGGCGTAAGACGGCGCCATGGTGCCAGGAAGGACAGATCCTCCCTTTGAGCCAATCATTGCACGTGCATCGTGCCACTGTATGCAACAGTATGCAACCACGACGTACCATGTTACACGAATGAGCTGAATCTGAAAATTGCATAAAATTGCCAGATGTTTGATTTCCGACTCGTCATAGCCGCTTCTGTTCAGTGTTTCAAGATTTTCAAGTTCAAGTGGATCCCACGTCCATCTGAATCCTCCGTCGCCCCTTTTTGCTGCTCAGTCGCCTGTTAAAATCGCTTCGCCCTCCGTGGAATGTGACCATCCAAGTGCCCAAAGTCTGCCAGCCCACTGCCACCATCCAATTGCAGCTCTATAGGACGCATTGTGAAGCCATTTGCTCAGCTCTGAAGCTGCAGCTGATGATCCTTCGTCAAAGGTAAACTGTTTTGGCAACACTCTCTTGATGGAACAACATGGAACAACCATCGCCACGTCCTTGAAGCTTGAACAGACTGCTCTTCGATGCAAAGAGTGCTAGGCCAGCCGAATCTTAAGCCAGTTGCGCAAACACATTGAAAGGATTTGAAAGGATTTGAAAGGATTTGAAAGGATGATTGTTGTGAAATTTGTGAATGAGATGTCAACTTCACAGACCCATCCTTCAAGAAACCTCGCTGTTCCAATTGATCTCGGAGAGCACGTGGCCCTCCCAATGTCCAGATAACTTACCGGGCACGGTAGCTATCGGTAGCTCACAGCGGTATTGATCACAGCTCACGCTTTGACGCTTGCAACCTTGAGGTTGATACAGTCATCAATTGCTGGAGAAAGAACTCAAGGCTGACGATTGACACTGACCATGCCGTAGATCCTGCTCAAGAACTTCGATCACATGATCCACTGACAGGTTCTTGAACTGATTGCAAATACTTGGGCCCACAAAGTCATACAAAGTCCAGATCCACCACATGCATGTGCAAATTGTTCATACTATTGTGACAGTTGCGCCCGTAGATGTGGAACAACAAACTGCATTCTCGGACCATGCTTCGACTTCTCACACGCCGTTGACCTAAGTCATCCCAAGTCAATGCTGCTGTCTTCATCACCTCGATTTCTGACAAAGCAGGGCAGCAGTAATGCTCTCTCACTATCATGCTGAAGACCAAGGCATGGAACTAGCCAGTGAAGATTTCTCCGAACCCAGCAACGGTGACACTTCGACATGGATGCTTTGCCAACCCAGGATCACTTGAATACCAGTTCGCATCACTGGCTGACAAATTGTTGGCAATCATGCATTTGGCCTGCCAATGTGGCAGGAAGGTTTGCTTGTTGGCAGTAGAGCTGGTGTAGGAAAATGCCGCCTGATTGCGAAGCATTTTCTGGCTGTCACGACTCGCCTGTGCCGCGTGACCCTGATGCTAGCATCTGCGGTGTCTGGCAAAGCAAACACCTGCACTTCTTTCTCGCGGTCATCACTCTTCAAACATGTACGCCCACCCTGGAAGTGGCACTTTCACTTTGATTGGACCGTTGGCGAACAGGGTGGCAAGCTTGGCATTTCAAGCTCATCGGTTCCGTAGGGAAAGCTGTAATTTCAACCCTTCCGGAAACAGGCCTAGCTCAACCACCTGGTGCTAGAGAAGGCTACGATGTACAAAGTAAGCCACATGTTGTCTTGGTGGATCCATTTTGTGCAGTTCAAACATAGAAGTCTGTGCAATGAATGACTTGCCTTTTGAACCCTAACGAGCTACGATCAATGTGTTTGAAAACTGTGCATAGTTCAGTCCCTTCTTTGAGCAACACTGAGGCAGCGCCACCAATGAACCTGTTTTGACTCCAGAGGCACACGGGTCCTGCGATGCAAGGCCTGTATTAGGCGAAAACTCTTTGCATCGCAAAGCCTGAGACTTGATTTGACTTGATGGGTTACAGTAGTCAGAAAGCATCAGAAACCAGCGTTCTCCAATTCGCTGAGCAACAACTGCGACGGCCAGTTTCATTCCAAGATGGTCACCATCTCATCTAACATACGCAATACATACGCAGGCTACGGTAATTCAACAACTGTACTCCAGAGTAGGCGGCAAAACACACAAACAAAAACGCCGCCTCCGAAACAAGATCATGAACATCATGAACTACGGGCATGCTGCATGCTCTGAATGTCATGTGCAAGATGCACAACAAGCCACGAGCGTTCATGAACATGCACATGCATGAGCATTCTGGCCTCAATCTTTCGCTTGTTTTCTCGTAAACGAAGGCCCTGAGTCCTTCCAAAATCACCGTTCCAGTTCCACCACAATGCCATTTCACACTCTTCAAACCTCGATCAAATCAGCCTCAAAGTCCCAAACAGATCAAAACCATACAATACAACACAATACAATACAATACAAATACAATACAATACAATGCCATTTCACAATCTTCAAACCTCGATCAAATCAGCCTCAAAGTCCCAAACAGATCAAAACCATACAATACAACACAATACAACACAATACAATACAAATACAATACAATACAATACAATGCCATTTCACAATCTTCAAACCTCGATCAAATCAGCCTCAAAGTCCCAAACAGATCAAAACCATACAATACAATACAACACAATACAATACAATACAATACAAATACAATACAATACAATGCCATTTCACAATCTTCAAACCTCGATCAAATCAGCCTCAAAGTCCCAAACAGATCAAAACCATACAATACAACACAATACAATACAATACAATACAATACAATGCCATTTCACAATCTTCAAACCTCGATCAAATCAGCCTCAAAGTCCCAAACAGATCAAAACCATACAATACAACACAATACAATACAATACAATACAAAACAAAACAAAACAAATACAATACAAATACAATACAAATACAATACAATACAATACAAATACAAATACAAATACAAATACAAATGCAAATACAAATACAAATACAATACAATACAATACAAAAACAAAACAAAACAAATACAATACAAATACAATACAACACAACACAATACAATACAATACAATACAACACAACACAATACAATACAATACCAATACAGATACGAATACAAATGCAAATACAAATGCAAATACAAATACAAATACAAATACAAATACAAATACAAATACAATACAATACAATATATATATATAATATATATATATAATATATATATAATATATATAATATATATATACACAATACAACCTGACAACCTCCAGAAACCTCCAGGCTTGGCTCTGTGCTCCCTTAGACTGCCTGGCGTAGTCAGGGTCCATGGTCAGAAATTCCTTGGAGGCGTCAGGGTGGAATCCACAGGCCTGCACGGCACGGAAACAGAGTGAAATAGGATACAAAATCATACGCACAGCATACGTAGATGATCGTAGATGATCGTAGATGATCGTAGATTCATAGCTGTCATAGCATAGATAACAACAAGATACAACTAGACGACGGATGGCCCGAGAGCGTAGAGGAGCAGAGTCTTCTGTTGTTAGTATGGAGACACTATATTAAAGATGTATTATAGGCAGACGAGAAGAGTAGTACAAGACAATAGTTTGCATCGTATTTTTGTAAAGTTTTTCATACACAGAACTTTTTACAGACAGACGTTTTTGCACACAGAGACTTTTACACACAGAGACTTTTACACACAGAGACTTTTACACACAGACGCTTTTACACACAGACGATTTTGCACACAAACACTTTTACACCCAAACACTTTTACACACAGAGACTTTTACATACACACGCTTTTACACACAGAAGCTTTTACACACAGAAGCTTTTACACACAGACGCTTTTACACACAGACGCTTTTACACACAGACGCTTGTTACACATAGGCTCTTCTACACACAGACACTTTTACACACAGACGCTTTTACACACAGAGCCTTTTACACACAGACGCTTTTACACACAGACGCTTTTGCACACAGAGACTTTTACACACACAGACTTTTACACACAGAGACTTTTACACACAGACGCTTTTACACACAGACGATTTTGCACACAAACACTTTTACACAAACACTTTTACACACAGACGCTTTTACACACAGACGCTTTTATACACAAACACTTTTACACACAAACACTTTTACACACAGACGCTTTTACACACAGACGCTTTTACACACAGACGCTTTTACACACAAACGCTTTTTACACATAGGTTCTTTTACACACAGACGCTTTTACACACAGACGCTTTTACACACAGACGCTTTTACACGCAGACGCTTTTACACACAGACACGTTTACACACAAACGCTTTTACACACAGAAGCTTTTACACACAGAAGCTTTTACACACAGACGCTTTTACACACAGACGCTTTTACACACAGACGCTTGTTACACATAGGCTCTTTTACACACAGACACTTTTACACACAGACGCTTTTACACACAGAGCCTTTTACACACAGACGCTTTTACACACAGACGCTTTTGCACACAGAGACTTTTACACACAGAGACTTTTACACATAGAGATTTTTACACACAGACGCTTTTACACACAGACGCTTTTTACACACAGGCTCTTTCACACACAGAGACTTTTACACACAGAGGCTTTTACCCGCAGAGACTTTTACACACAGACGCTTTTACACACAGACGCTTTTACACACAGACGTCTTTTTACCACATGGGGGGGGGGACGCTTTTACACAACATATGTCTTTTCACAAACAGGCTTGGAACACATACAAACCACACTGTGGTACAACACAGATCTTTTACACACAGACGCTTTTACACACAGACGCTTTTACTTTACGCACAGACGCTTTTACACACAGACGCTTTTACACACAGACGCTTTTACACACAGAGGCTTTTACACACAAACACTTTTACACACAAACGCTTTTACACACAGACGCTTTTACACACAGACGCTTTGACACACAGACGCTTTTACACACAGACGCTTTTGCACACAGAGCCTTTTACACACAGACGCTTTTACACACAGACGCTTTTACACACAGACGCTTTGACACACAGACGCTTTTACACACAGAGGCTTTTACACACAGACGCTTTGACACACAGACGCTTTTACACACAGACGCTTTTACACACAGACGCTTTTACACACAGAAGCTTTTACACACAAGTAAAATCGCAATTTTTCCTCAGTTTTTGACGATCGACCCTCATTTCGTGCGAAAGGGTTGCTTTAGCACAAGTAAAATCGCAATTTTACCTCAGTTTTTGCCGATCGACCCTCATTTCGTGCGAAAGAGTTGCTCCGGCACAAGTCAAATCGCAATTTTACCTCAGTTTTTGCCGATCGACCCTCATTTCGTGCGAAAGGGTTGCTCCGGCACAGGTAAAATCGCAATTTTACCTCAGTTTTTGCCGATCGACCCTCATTTCGTGCGAAAGGGTTGCTCCGTGGCGGGGCAAGTCAATCGCCTTTTATCCCGGTCAGTTTTTGCCGATCTAACCCTCATTTTCGTCGAAGGGGCTGCTCCGGCACAGGAACAAAATCGCATTTTTCCGCAGTTTTGCCGATCTAACCCTCATTTCTTGCGAACGGGTTGAGGTGCGTACTCACCCGCCGGTACCGACCCTCGGGCCTAAAGAGAGAAATATCCAGAAGTCTATAGAGAGAAGAAAAGGAGAGCTAAAGGAGAGAGAAAAGGAGAGAGAGTGAGAGAGAGAGAAGATGTGAAGATGAGAAGGTGGGAGAGAAGATGTGAAGATGAGAAGGTGTGAGAGAAGATGTGAAGATGAGAAAGGTGTGAAGATGAGAAGGTGTGAGAGAAGATGTGAAGATGAGAAGGTGTGAGAGAAGATGTGAAGATGAGAAGGTGTGAGAGAAGAACTGAAGATGAGAAGGTGTGAGAGAAGATGTGAAGATGAGAAGGTGTGAAGATGAGAAGGTGTGAGAGAAGATGTGAAGATGAGAAGGTGTGAAGATGAGAAGATGAGATACAGACCTCCACTATTGGAAGAACCCTGCGCTCAGACGCTCTCGGGAAAAAGGACGTGCACGTCTCAGGGACCTTTTGAATGACTTGAATTGTACTTGGACAGGATCAATATAGGATACAAACAGCGGCTTGCGAGCTGTCGATAAAGTATCACAACATAACTCAGCAGCTGATAAGTGACGCGTCGCGTCCTTTAAATTCTGGGAGTTTGTGTAGTTTTCAAGTGTATGGAGCACCCTCCCTAAAGGTATCATGATCCCGGTCCCTAATTATGATCGATTTCATTCCACACAGGAATCCCTGACATTCAAAAAATGAAAAAAACACCCACTCAGAATCTTGGGACCGTAGGACATAGGATCACATTAGGATCACCAAATGCCTTCACTGCAGCCTCTAGTGACTCTTCGTGACGAATATTTGCCGCCTCTACCACTGCGATGGCCTCCTCGAGATTGCCAACTCTGCTCCTGTGGAAATGCTCAGGAACAGATAGGAACAGTCAAACAGATCTGGGCACACAAATGCAATATCAGGACAGCCAAGAAAGAGCACGCACAAAGCATCGCAACAAATTGAAGGCCTTTTTACGTCTGAAAGAAATCATGATGAATATTGATGCACTTGGAAAAAGTGAGCTGCAATACAATCGACTGCTACATGAAGTCCATTCTTGCATTATGAAGCGCTACAACTACAACTACAATTCAAGCACAAGTACTCATCAAACGACATTTAGTATGCAAACTTCCGAGTTACGGACACATGTCAATGAGCAGTTTTTCCAAAACTTCCGCCCGGCGTGGCTGGGAACTACCTGATAAACTTCAGATTCAATCTGGATACGACATGATAAGACTATGCCCACACGGAACCGGGATAACTGATTGAGACTCGACAAAGCTAAGTGGAAGAGACCCCAACGCTCAGATGGCTCAATACCACATGCTGACGTATTGTTGGCTACGGCTACAGGAAGTTGAGCATGTGCGGGCAACAAAATATGTTGAAATTTAATGAAACTTAACGAAATATGCAGAGGTAAATAGCATACAGTATTTATGTGCAAGCACAGCACAAAGAACAACAACAGTCCCCATGGCACCAGCGGCAACCACAATCACAACCATAAGCACAATATCGCTATCCACGCAGTGATACTAAGAAAGGCGATCTCATGTCCTGAACTTCTCAGCCTTGATGCGCTGGTACTTGGACTCCTTGCGGTCACTTCTTACTGCTATGTTGTCCGACTCTCTAAACATGAAAACTCAAAGGCGCTCACGCTCAATGCCAGCGACATTGAACCGACAGAAGCTGTTCTTGCTACTGTTTCCAAGTCAACAATCCCTGCTGTAAGTTTTGCCAACCTGTGGATGGTCAATCACATTGCGCAACAGGTCGTTGAGTGTCCTCAAAGCCAAACTATCAGCAAGATTTTAGAAAAACGATGTCGCTGATACATGAGAAAGGCAGAAGATGCACTGTTACTGTATACAAAAAATGATGAGAGAAGCATCATATGAAAGGAGCATAATTTCATATTTCTGTGCAATTTCCATGGCGCATAATGGCGCCATGTCCTGAAACAGGCTGCAAGTGCTGCAGGTTCGGCCTGTCGGTGGACACGTTGCCAACACTTGGAGTTCAAAAAAGTTCTTATGGTTTTTTTGAAAAAGAATATTCAAGATTGGAGAAGCAGGAAGAAATGCTGACCAATAGTCTTGCTAGATTGCTAGACTGAATCTTTTCTTCGAATGTAGATACATATCGAAGCAGACATGCATGAAGCATGAAGGTACAGGTCTTTGAGACTTGTCGTTTGCACGAAAGATGCACTATTGTATCGATTTGTTGCGCGACAGAATTCAGCAGCTCAATTTGGAACTTATACTAGGCACATCGAGAATGGATCTATATAATCATTGCGGAAAAGACAAAAACATTTTCTCACTAGCGCTGTTTTCAGGTTTACAAACATCGAACTTCTTCCGCATATCAGTTCGCACCTCCCGGTACTTCTTCCGCAGTGCCCTCAGCGCCGAGACGCATGAATCTGCCTGCAAGCACCAGTTCAATTCGGTTCGCATCAAGATGGAATCGACCAATGACAATGAACCTCGCTGGAAAGATTGAATCGTCTCCTCCACCCGGGCAAAAAATGGGAAGAGATGGGCCAAAAGTTTCAAACCGCCTTCTCTTCGTGTGGCGTTTCCTCCTCTTTGGGCACCTCTGGGACTGCCTGCACGGGCGCCACGGGGCGCTGGAGATCAATTTGTTCTGCCCAAAAAAAAAAGTTCTATCCTTCAATATGGAGTTGTGGGTTGCAGGTGTCTTCAACCATCACCCAAATCAAGAGACAAATGATGTCACATGCCTCTGCTGCCTCTTTCCTTGGAGGTTCCAGGTGCGAATGTGACACACCATGACACACCATGACACAGGGTGACACACTACATTAACATCCATTGACTCTTGCGAGAACTCTTGCTCCCTGCGCCAGTTGCTGCCAGCTGTGAGCCGTCTTCCTATCTTCCCTTATCTTCCCAGGCTAAGCCACCAGCGGAGCAAGTGGTGGAGCTTTCGGCACCACCGCTTCCACAGGCGATACTTTCGGCGCCTGCCAAACTAAACTCAATAAACAAATACAAACAATAAACTGTTTGAAGAAATACCATGCGTGGCAAGGGCGGATCAAATGTCCAAACAAACAGAGTTTCGCGAGCTCCATTGTTGACATATCTTGACACGCATTAGCAGCCACTGAAGGTTCCACCAAAAACCATAGAGAGATGAAGGGTTTGAAGTGGATTGAAGTAGATTGATGTACTATGGCACTATGGGCGCAAGCGACAGGCCTCCTCCACTGGCTTCTCAACTGGTTCAGCCCTTGGATGTGAAGCAGGACCCCCGGATTCCGTGCATCTACACACAAAGCAGCTAGAAAGCAACAACTTCTTTACTACACCCCCAGCTGAAAAAAGAAAAGATTCATTCGGGCATACTGCGGCATACTAATTAATGGTTTGCCATTCCAATGCCATCCGATACGTGCAATTTCCGGTCAGAACACGGAAAGGCAGAGGACAGAGAGGAGAAATTGGGCTCTAAGCCAGTGCCTGTTTCAAAACGTTGCAAATCACAACAAACCCACATGCAAGTTGCGAAACGTTCCAAAACAAGCAAGGCAGAACTGGCAGCGCGATTCTCGTGCAGCGAAGGAGCACTTCCACTGAACCATGTTTCACGTCTTCCCTGGCAAAGTGCCAACTGCTTTTGTCAACTGCTTAGACTTAGTTCCCTGCTATCCTGCTCCACTCTCGACGGAAAAGAGGAGCAATGAGATTTAGTTTCAGTAAATGCTCAAACACATGCACTTTCTGATTGCCGCAGAGTTGGCAACTGCTGCAGAGTTTGCGTGAAATACTCTAGAGATAGCAAAAGCTGCTGGAAAAACTACAGAGTTGAACAGCCATGGAAAGGAAATTATGATGGGATGAGTGTCGAAAGAAGCCAAACCAAACAAATATGCGTCTCCGTTTGTACCTCCTCCTCCTCTTCCTCATCATCATCATCATCATCAGAATCATCATCAGAATCATCATCAGAATCATCATCAGAATCATCATCATAATCATCATCAGAATCATCATCAGAATCATCATCAGAATCATCATCAGAATCATCATCAGAATCATCATCAGAATCATCATCAGAATCATCATCAGAATCATCATCAGAATCATCATCAGAATCATCATCAGAATCATCATCAGAATCATCATCAGAATCATCATCATCATCATCAGAATCATCATCAGAATCATCATCAGAATCATCATCAGAATCATCAGAATCATCACCAGAATCATCATCAGAATCATCATCAGAATCATCATCAGAATCATCATCAGAATCATCATCATCATCATCATCAGAATCATCATCATCACCATCAGAATCATCATCAGAATCATCATCAGAATCATCATCAGAATCATCATCAGAATCATCATCATCATCATCAGAATCATCATCAGAATCATCATCAGAATCATCATCAGGATCATCATCAGAATCATCATCAGAATCATCATCATCATCATCAGTCAGAATCATCATCAGAATCATCATCAGAATCATCCATCAGAATCCATCCTCAGAAATACCTCACCAGAATCAATCATCCAGAAATCATCACTCAGATCCATCATCAGAATCATCAAATCAGGATCATCATCAGAATCATCATCATAAATCATCATCTAATCCACACATCATCAGAAAATCATCATCAGAATCATCATCAGAATCATCATCAGAATCATCATCATCATCATCAGAATCATCATCAGAATCATCATCAGAATCATCATCATCATCATCAGAATCATCATCAGAATCATCATCAGAATCATCATCAGAATCATCATCAGAATCATCATCAGAATCATCATCAGAATCATCACCAGAATCATCATCAGAATCATCATCAGAATCATCATCAGAATCATCATCAGGATCATCATCAGAATCATCATCAGAATCATCATCAGAATCATCATCAGAATCATCATCAGAATCATCATCATCATCATCAGAATCATCATCAGAATCATCATCAGAATCATCATCAGAATCATCATCAGAATCATCATCAGAATCATCATCATCATCATAATCATCATCATCACCAGAATCATCATCAGAATCATCATCAGAATCATCATCAGAATCATCACCAGAATCATCATCAGAATCAATCCAATCAGAATCCATCATCAGAATCATCATCAGAATCATCATCAGAATCATCATCAGAATCATCATCAGAATCATCATCAGAATCATCATCAGAATCATCATCAGAATCATCACCAGAATCATCATCAGAATCATCATCAGAATCATCATCAGAATCATCATCAGAATCATCATCAGAATCATCATCAGAATCATCATCAGAATCATCATGAGAATCATGAGAATCATCATCATCATCATCATCAGAATCATCATCAGAATCATCAGAATCATCATCAGAATCATCATCATCATCAGAATCATCATCATCATCAGAATCATCATCAGAATCATCATCAGAATCATCATCAGAATCATCATCAGAATCATCATCAGAATCATCATCAGAATCATCATCAGAATCATCATCCGAATCATCATCAGAATCATCATCAGAATCATCATCCGAATCATCATCATCATCATCAGAATCATCATCAGAATCATCATCAG